GTTGGAGAGGACCACTTCGAGAGCTGAGTCTCAAACCCCTGGCAAAAACTCGGGTGTTCCGATTCGGTTTGAGACTGAATCAAATGATCGTCCCGTACAAGCTCATGAATTCCTTGTTAGCTGCCTAAACATCATTTACAAAATAACCTGCAGTGGAAGTGATTCTCAGAATAATTCTTAACTGAACAGCATCTACCACCGTTATTTATAAGCTAGACTGCTCCCTCCCCCTTCCCTTCCCTTTCCTTACCCCCCCCCCGAGCATAATAGAAAATTAAGCAAACATTAGTTTTAAATTATTCATTAAATTTTTCTTCTATTGAAGCAGCGAGAGAGACCAATTAGGAGAGAGCCAGTATGAATCTGTAAATCCAGTTGAAGCCGCAAAGCTTCTTGGGTCACCAAACAGCACCCCTGATATGAGTAAGACTAAGTTCGAAGCATCACCAGAAAATTGTGAATATGCCTTTGTGAACAAAGCAAACAAGAATGTGAGCATTTAGTTTTAGACGTTGAGACGTAATTGAGATCATTCAATGTAGTTGTAAGTCAGTTTCTACTAGAACGATAGACTCTTATACACATGATATGTGCAGCAGATAAATGGACAGATTCACTGGTGTGTATTCAAGCAGATTAAATGGAATTGTGTACATGATTTAACCTAGCAAGAGGGAGAGTATGGAATAAATATTGTAGGGTATCTGTTGCATGTGGCATCAGACCGAAAAAAAGAGGGGAAAAATTTCAAGCAAATAGATTTCCATGTCATAGACTTGTAGCGTAGTAACATACGTCATTGGTGAAACACGAAGAAAGGATGACCGCTGATTTGTTCTTTACATCAACTGAATTTGGCGAAGCGAAACAGCCCTTTGTAGCGCCTATCTTATATAGTTATCGTTAACAGCTTGTGTGTTTTTTCGGCAAAAGAAAGTGATCAAAAGACGTGCATTGATCGCCGATTGATTGTCTGTATTNTATATATTAAAACCTAGATAATTGGATAATGCAATTCAAGACTTTCTATTGGCTTAACCATTATGGTATATCAGCCAATATACCATAATCTACAAATATGGCAAGGGTACGTGTCAGCTTAAATTAAAAGGGAGCTTAAAATTTAATAATTTAATTAAACGTTTTTAATAAAACAACTATTCCACTCGTGCTTGTTGGATATGAGATGATTATAGCCAACTTGGTACTACGTGCCTCGTTGGCTATCTATAATCTCATATCTATCATATATATACTGAAATAAATGAAAACCAAAAGTCCTCTCTTTCATAGTCTTTCTCTTTGCTTTTACGCTACACGTTTCACTGCTGTTGCGGCTCTTCAGGCATAGCAAAGTGTGTTTATTGACTTATTACGTCACAGATCTAATTGTAATTACAATGGTTATTGTAATTCGAAGCAAGCGCGAGCAATTAGCGTAATATCAAATCATTAAGAACGGGCTTATATTTAGAAATAAAAAATCTTTCTTTGTTCTTTCTCATGACGTCAGAAGGGCCGAGAATCATGTAAAACGGAAAGATAGTGAACTGAGGGGTCAATCCCGCAGCACATTCATCAATATGTGTGCTAACTCCCAGCATACTTGTGTGCGGGTCTCTAATTTGTTGTTTGTGGACTGTCACTGTATTTCTCAGGACATCACCCGTTTCTCCTATATAGTTTCAATATATATATATATATATCGAGAGTGAAATTCTAGCTTTCTTGGTAAACTGGAAAGCTTTTTAAGTAATCTGGTATGAATTTCGTGGCTAAACTATGCAAATCAAATATCTTACATTACAAAATATGCCTATTTATCAATTTTCGAGACGTTGCGACAGTCCCTACGGACTGAGGAAGTAATTATGGCCCCTATTACAGTCAGAAAAATTATTTCGAATCAAACCAAATCTAATCTACAGGGCAGGTGTAAAATTAACTTTTTTTTTCTGGTAGCCACTTGGCTCCTAAATATTTTAAAGTGGTAGCCAATTCTAAAAAGTTGGTGGCCATTATGACACACACACAAAATAAAAAATTTTTACCTTGTCACTGTACTAGATATATTATCATATCAGTGATACAGTCATACAGACATCAAAAATGAGCCCGCTAAATTCGCACGAGCTACAAAGAGGACACTAGAATGGATCATATACAACCTTATAGGTTACCTAAATCCGATATGGCGTCTAGTGACGATAGATTTACGTTCAACATTGTGCATGTGCTGTGTTTTGGAAATGAGCTTAGCGAGGAACTTTGCAGCAGATTTATCTTTACAAATCTTCAACAATCACTAGATCTCTAGCTAAGGTGGGATTAGAAATTCTAGTCGCCAAATTGGCGACTAATTTTCAGGATTTGGTCGCCAAAGTGAAAAATTTAGTCGCATTGGCGCCTGTATTAGGCGCAATTTTACGCCCTGAATTCTAGTTCTTTCCAGGGTAAAGTCTTTCAAATGACAGAGTTTCAGGTAAAATTATTTTTGACACGAAATTGACCGGGTGGAAGTAAGAGGCAGCCCCTTAATTACATTCCTCTTAGTTTTGTAAAAAAAATCGTTTTATTTAACTGTGTGAGTTTTCAGCAGTAGAGCACTAGCTGATACCATGAATGAGTCACCTCTGCCTAGCCTTGTGTTCCATTTTTCATTTCTAGCTTGATATCAAGTCTATGTGTACAGATCTACTTTGAGGGGGGGGGG